TAGCTCTCCAACTGCAAACCTGAGTTTTCCACCTTGAGACCTATCTGCAGCCCCCTGTTTGTTGGCTGCTAGTCTCACTTAGGTACATCTTCTGTAGTTTGGCTGACAACCCATAGTACCAATGTACAAGCAGTCCTAGTAGGGAGTTTCTGCCTTCTTGGCTGCAGGATCTGAGCTGTTATAAAACAGATTACAAAAATACCATCAAAATAGAAGACAATAATGGAAAATTAAAGGGAAGATCTGAGAAACCTCCCAAATTGACAATATTGCAATTGCTGCACTGCACCATTACCTAAACACCCACTTATTAGACATGTTTTACCAGTAAAATTCTCACCAACTAAGATGAAAATATGTATATATTACCACCCCTCTTAGCATTACATACTTTCAACAAAGTACAGCTCTATCACTGTGAAGTTCAAACAACTGATAACACTTGAAGTCGACTGCCAAAACTCTCCTACTTGATGTTCAGAAGGCATAACTGTTAATTAAAATCCATGTTCAAGCCACACAAGTAAAATACTTCCAGATTCAAGAATTCCTGTACTTTGAAGATCATTATATCTCCGTGATCAAGACATTAAAGGCAGGCCTCTGGAATCCCTCAGAATGGGAATCTGATTTTCAGATGCCAACCTGTTCTTGCCATCCATTCTCAGATGCCAACCTGTTCTTGCTGGACTGGTAATGCCTCCCATGATTGAGTATTTTTTAAATGACTTATTTGTGAAATATACCTGATTTTTGTCTGAGTATACAGCTATAAACAAAAGCAGAGAACATACACCTGGAAAACATCAGAAGGTCTTATGAAGGGGAAATGGAACTGGGGATTTTTAAAATACTTCAGTACTTCTGAATTTGAGAAACCCTCCAATGTAGAGAGTTACCCTGGTTTGTTCTGAATCCCTTGTGCTCCCACTGGGGGCTCACAGCCCCCTATATGTAAGCATTTGTTGGATGCGCACCAGAGATAGTATGAGTAATTCCTTCCTGGCATGTGCACTTTAATGGCTATCCAAAAAACCAATAAAATTATAAGGGAGAAAGAATGTGTGAGTCACAAGGGGATTTTTAATTTGTAAATGGCATTTGTGAGGCTCATGTTGAAATACATCATCCAATTCTGCAATCCAAATTTTAAACAGGCTGTTGTGGGTGTGGGGTAGAATCAGAAAAGGTAGAAAGATAAAGGACGCAGAAAACAGAAATATATACAGCAGGAAACTGAAATATTTTAGTTCACTAGAGATATCAAGGTGATTTGATTGTAATGACTTAATTTATAAGAACTTCTCACAGGAGAAAGATAGTAGTTACCATGTCTGGTTCATGGATGTCAAGTAAAAGCAAAGTAATACACACTAGAAATGTAATTTTTTAGCAGATGGGAGAACAAATCATTAGAATAAGCCTCCATTGTAAGAAAGTTCTAGAGCCCATAGATAATGGCTGGGCATCTCGTAAACTATTCAATTCCATCAAGTTACTGGGTTCTGTAGATGGATAGCACATAAAGTTTATATTGAGAGAAGAACAGACTAAATGATTTAAAGGCCCTTTTTGGTCTTAAAATCCATAAATATTTTAGTAGAGAAGTACAGTGTGCTGTGATGTGACTGCTTGTTATGCTTCTGGAATCAAGTCACTTGACCAAGTACACTCCTGAAGGCCACGTATGCTGGGTGAAGAATAAAGCACTCGTCTATCACCAAGTAACATGGTATTCTTGATGTCATATGATTTTTCTTTTCCATGAAAGATTGTACATTGATATCTGCCTGCACTGAGATTTCTCAAAACAAGCTCCCAGATCACTTCTGGGACATAAACTAGCAAAATAGACTGACATAGGCAGTCTCAGGAGAGAGCTGAGGTTTTCCACCAACCCTCTGTTGTTTAAACAAAACTGAAAAGTTGCACATATAGAGACAGTTCGTAATTCAAGTCACCTTTTAAACTTTAACTCTTTGACAACAGAGAAAAAAAACTTCAGCATTTAAAATTCACTAAATATTACCAGACATATTGCAGTTCCCTTGGAAAAAAAAAATGAAGCTATCTATCTTCACCTCAGGTAAGTTCCAATGCAGATGTGAGTTTTCACAAAATTTAAATATATACTTATGCAGGTAAATATAGATATCTCAGATACCCCTAGCAGATACAAAAAAGAAATTGATTACCAATAGTTTGTTCATGTCTGTCCTTACTTCTTCCTGGGGTTCTAACTAAAAACTATATTGAATGTTTGACTACAGTCTGTTAGGGACATCAAAATTCATTATAGCAATTTTCCTATGAAATCTCTGCTGAAAAGTATTGAAATGATCAATCAGTGCAGCACCTATGTATGTATTGAGAAATATAGGTAAGCAAAGAAAAAGAGCTGTGCAATTTGAAGAAAAAGAGGTATCTTGCATTTGAAGAAAGACACACTATAAGCACATCCAAAAATCTTTGCTGGAAGCATTACTTTTGTTTATACAAACAAGTCCTGTGAACCTCAATATTGTTTAATCATACAATTCCCATGAGATTTTTTCCAATTTTTTTAGGAATGTACAACATATATACAATGTAGTATATATAATAAATCACAAATATGCACAATATTTAGTCCACGTATTTTTTTATACATACACCTATATATAAGTAGCATTCATTCCTAGCTATCTGATCACAACCTATTTAAAATTATCGTCTGCAAGGTAAATGCATATTTTTACATCTATTCTAAATCAAAAAATAACTGTCATTTTCATAAATTGGACACATGTCCAATGACAACGTGTAATTGCTGACATAGCAATTGGAGATCTCTTCCAAAGCCAGTAGAAAACCCAAAACATACTTAGTTCATCAATACTGGGTACCTATGACTTTAAAAGTTCCTCAGAGGACCTTTCATACCATCTGTGATCAAGTGATCAGAATTCTCTCATAAGTACATAAGTACTCATATTCTTGAATCATTTCATTTATAATAGTGGATGTAATTTTTTACAATAACTGTTAATCACAAAGGAGGTGGATCAGTGGGAAAAAGTAGAAAGGAGTTTAACAAATGGGATCAGAAGTCTAGCAAGTATGCTCTACTGAAAGAACTTGGTTTGTTTAGTCTGAAAAAAAGAGAAGACTGAGGAAAGATATGATAACAGTCTCAACTATGTAAAAGGTTGTTGTAATAAGCCTTATTCATGCCCACAAGGGACAGGGCAAGAAGCAAGGAGCTTAACATAGAGGAAACATGACTTGAAGATAAAGAAAGGCATTTTATATGGATACTGGAAACTTAAGCTTTAAAAATTAAAAGCTTGCCTACTTAAAAATTATGATAAGTATATAAACCTATAGCAAGAAGTAAATTTACTAACTAGGCTTTACTGTAGCACAAACAGATAACAGTTCCTTTGTGGTGGACCACATTTGTCTACATGGAGAGCAGGGCAAAACCACCAAGTGCTGACAGCAGAACCATGGAGCTCAATGAAAGAGTCAGATTATTTTCTTCTTCCGTTACGACCAAGAACTGAAGATCCATGATGTGCAATTACTTTATAACTCTTACTTTTGTTTAAGACTATTTCCACTTTGTTGTGACTTAGTTCAGTTCAAGCAAAAGGACAGAATTTCAAAAGTCTGATTCGGTCAAGGGAATTGAAAACTAAAAATATCAAAAAAAAACATTAAGGGAGCTGTTCTTGCCGTTCTCCTGACATCGTAAGTTAAAGTAAATTACTCTGATGTTAAGAGAAAAGCATTTCACCCTTTTTTCCTCTAGTGTTGTCTACTATTAACCTCTGGTTCTAACCACTTGCTTTTTTAAAAATCATTTCACTATGTCAGAAAAAGCAGAATTAAGAGCAACTATTAACTTACCATTGACATTTAGATAATTCCATCAATCTCTACCCTGAAGCCAGTCTTTTACTTCTTTCTTTAAGGTAGGAAAAATTCTGAGCTGAATGCTGGATGTCTTATTTAACTCAGAACTAGTCATGCAACAAAATAGGCAATAATCACACCTTGCAATATGAGGTAAAAACTGTTCCTCACTATGTTTACTTCAGAAAAGGAGTAAAAGGAATTTTTGTGCCTGTATATCACCTGGAGATTTAAAAAACTATAGAAACCTATGTAAAGCACAGCAGTTTACCAGTTCTCTGTTTGAAAGGAAGAAATCTCTTTTATTTGCTTCTCCAAAATAAAATGTAGATACTGAACAGTACCTGCATTTTCAGTAGAATTATAATTACTTCTCACTTAATCTAAGAAATGTCAAACAAAGTAAAAAAAAGCATCCATTCCACAGAGGAATAGCCATTTAAATAAAGAATTATCTCTGTCACAGTAATTCACAGTTTTTGTTAGAAGGCCTTTAATACACTTACCTTTTTAGCCATGACAAGACCATGTACTAAACCAATCTGTGTATAGTTCAAAGCCCTGCTTTGTCGACAGGCACAAATGTTATTTTATCAGTCCTTTTCAATATTGGTTCTCAAAAGACATCTAACACCTTCAAGAAGTTGAGATTTGAACTGAACCATCTGGTTAATGGAGAACTAAATTAAGATTAATAAATCAACCAGCATGAATTAATCATCCGACAGAGAATTTTCAAAAATATTGCTTTGGATAGGAACATGATCACAAAGGAGACATATGCATAGCCTGTAAGAGTCATCGTGATCCAATATGGATTTTGAAATCAGATTTTTCACCACTTCCATGGTCAGATATACTTAAAGAAATGACAACACAGAGAAGCTTTTCTTTCCTTCACCGATGTTGGACTAAATAACAACCTATTATTTACCTGCTAGAACTGTTCCCCAAATACAGAACTAAAAATATACGGGAGAGCACAGCAACTGCTAATGAAAACCCAGTAAATGTCACTATCCTGGGCTCAGGCTGCAATCTCAAGTAGCTTCAGTTTCCTCAAGAGTAAAGAGTAAGGATGACTCACTTGAACAGTTTATTACCTTGGATACTTCTTTTGAAGAAAGCTTTGCATCCCTCGCAAGACCAGACCCCATAATGGTAGCCCGAAGCATAGTCGTTGCAGACAGCACAGTACCGAGTTTCTTTGGTGGACTCCATGGACAGGCTCCCTTTCTCATTGGTACTGGACATCCTCTCCCGGATGGTGTGGCGCCTGCTATCAGAGCTTGGCCTGTTGATAGCAAAACAAAAGAAAAAAACAAACAACAGAAACAAAAACAAGCATAGTTCTTTCAGGGAGGTTAAGCCTCATTCCACTGCTTCAGATTGTAAGAAAGAAGAACAACAGATCTAGTTTGAAAACAACAGGTAGACAAAAGAAAAAAAAGTCTTTTATTACCCTCTATCCTTTTCTAGTTGGAAAGGTGCAGAATCAGTAAGATATGGGGGAATTTCTCACAGATCAACCTGAAACTACTGGCCATTGTACCTTGAAAAATTAAAAAGCTATTAGATAAATTAATCAGGTTTTCTCTAGACATTACAAAGGAATACCAAAAAACCAGCACTGTTCTGTGTACCTGCTCCTGTTCAAGGATTTCAACATGACTGCAATATCAGCAGCTAGTTTGAGAATATGAGTCAAAAATCATTTAATGGTTGCACCTGAATTAGCTTAATTATTAACTTAAATTATCATATATACACTTAAGTTATTAACCAAGCTATTTTCAAGTGTTATTGCCCAGCTAGAGATGCAAATATTCCTTAAATTGTCAAGATTAATATTGCATAAAACAGTCCCTATTCTCATTACAATACCACTTTCATAAAACTTAAGAAGGTGTTTTAAGACCAAAAAGGTCAGGAGGTATTAAAAACTGTTGCCAAAGAATTTTTGTTCCAATGATACACGTTGCTACACATGTACTACACGTATTAGACATACTAGACATGCACGCAACCCACATGTGCAGTATGCTGCTGAATGAAAACCAAACAAATCAATAGTGTAAACAACAACGAATTCACTCCTACTGAACCTGGTAAGAGGTTATTATGGGTAGCTGCTGCAGGCATGGTACACAGTATTCAAAAAGGCAAGTGGATGTGAAATTACCAAGGGAACCAGCAATGAACCCTGGGATTGCCCCTGGAAGGCAAACAATTCTTGCAAAACGTGCTTTCCAATAAGAGAAAGACTCTCTACAGATTGTCCATGAGACAAATACCATTGAGTGTGACAGCACCAGACAAGCTAAAGCATGAAGAATTCTACTGTTTACAGTAATTACTCACTTGCCATGCATGCTTTAATTGCTCATTAGTAAACAGGTGGCTCATATCTCACTAGAGTCCCAATATTTCCTCAAACACATCCTGGTTTTGAGCCTAAGAGACTCTCTTTCGAGTTCTTCCTACGTACCTCATTTTGCCTTATCCCTTCTTCAGCACAGCAAAACTTCCTGAGTTTTGATGAACCAAGACATCTGGCACCAACCACATCTTCCTGCTTCAAGCCTGTATTCCCCAGCAGCTTTCTGATTTCTCTAGGTATGTCCAATTATCCTCTCTCATCCAGCCTAAGTACCTTTACATCTGCTGCAGTACACCTCAGCACTCAAAAGCTTTCTACCAGTCAAAGGCAGCTTGACACTCTCACATGCTCTTCTCTCAGCCATCCCCTTGAAACTTTGTATATATAATTTCTGTTCCCAAATATGATATTAATGCAAAGCTATTCAGCGAAAATATATCAATTAGAGAAACAGGAGGCTTTACCTTGTTAGATAGCAGAAACTGCTGCTGGCATCTTCCAGGAAAACTGCACTTTTAAAACCAAATGTTCTTTGCCAAAACTTATGCATCAACTAATATTGAAAATGTATTTAATTTTTTCCTCTTTTTTTTCCTTTTTTTTTTTTTTTTTTTAATTTTTATTTTTCTTGGGACTGTGCAGAAATGAAGAAACTGTAAATGGTGAAGCTCTGACATGGCACAACTCTGGTTTTTTAGTGAGACAGGAAAACTGGAGTGTGTCACAGTTATGACAACATGACTCTATGAAACTTGGCAGGGAAAAGAAGTCCTTGCATATTTTAGATGCTAAAATGTTAAAAAACTAGAAATGTAAAATGCAAAAAGTTAAAACAATATCATAAATCAATCGTTATGGATACAACACATACATTGTCCATGTAACTACCTTTTCCAGCCACCAAACACTAAGTAGTTTCTTAATTCTTCTCAAGGTCCTGAATATTTCTTGGAATTTGCTTTATCTCAGTGCCTCATTTATTTGACTTCTTTTTTTCTTCTGCAGAGCTGTTGTTTCTTACCTTCTCCACCCAAGTCTTCCCTGACTGCAGCTATATCACCTCTCTCAGTACAACTTTGAATAAAGTACATTGTGGCTTTTTTAGCATACATATTCTTAGGTGCATATAATTACAAGAATGTTGTAAATATTTGAAGTAAACAAGCAAGCAATAGGTATGCAGGATGATTTGACAGATATTCCTAATTCTTGATTATTTTTTCAAATATGTATGTTATACAAGGTTCCCAGAATTATTTTCACATCAATAAGAAGTACAAAGAAATTACAATTTTACGAAGTTTAAATGTTATCTTTTTTTTTTTAAAAAAAAGCATTTAAAAAACAGTACCAAAAAAAATTCAAGTTTCAAAAAAATTACATGTTTTTGCAGGCATGTAGCGGTTTTCCAACATCAGACATGCACACACCCTTACTAAAGCAATCCTGGTTTCCTAGTTGGCTACAAAATACACTTTAATAAGTAAAACCAAAATAAAGAAATACCAAAAACTATCAATCATCCCTGATTTATCAGTCCAGCTAAATTAAAATTTCATCTTTTCAGATCATTTGCTCAGATCAAGACTAGGTTTGCAAATACATTTTCACTTAAATTATATTTAAGAATAAAATATGACTGGAAAATGGCCTGAAACAACAAAAAAAAGCTTTTTCCAACGTAGAACGGATAAGAAATTTCATTTAATATGTACACACCAAAGAAAATAAGCTGCATAAACATTAAGAAGGAAGATGCATTAAGAAGTGAAGACAGATATTTTGCCATGCTGTGGCAAGTCTCTCCCACAGGTTCTGTCCATCCTCAGTCCCACAATGAGGCTACTGTTTCAGAGGGAGGCTGCAATGAGACAGCACCTCCTTGTTCACCAACAGAGGGTCTGCCATACCAGGGATCAGAGGCAGATGGGGAAGCAATGCTGTTGCTCACACCTGCCCATAATTCCCATGTGTTTCATATTTGACTGAGGTGTCCACTGGACTCCTGCACACAAACTTGTTACATTGAAAGAACACTATAACTCTGTTAGCACAGACCTTCACAAAGCAAATGAATCTAAAGATGATGCTGCTGGCTTCCCACCTCAGAATCACTGCCACTCGAGCACCATTTGGGCAAAGGTTTGCAAACTGGCCCTGCAGAGTCATCACATTCAGGCTTTAGTGAACCACATTGAAAAGCACACTAAAACACCCAGAAATAACATCCTGCCACCCCTTTCTATTTATAAAGTGGGAATAAAAGCTGGTAATAAAGTCTAGTAAATATTAGAGTAGGTAAGGAAGAAACCTTTTTGTGAAAAGAGTATCCCTGTAACACAGAGATTGCTAAATCAAAATAACATATCAGATTTCATCCAGAAATCAGCTGCTAGTTAGTGTATATCACAGACCACTGATGCTGTGTTCTGACAAAAAACATAACAACCTGCTCTTCATCCTCTTTTCAGTTAGGTTCCAAGGGTTAGTCTTTTGAAAAACTTAGTACAACAACCTAACCCAGCTTTAACAATGTTGGCAAGATCATCATTCCCAAAATACAACAGAACCTTTTCTACAATTTCCTTTCTAATCTACGCAAAAATAAACAAACAACAAAAATCCAAACAAACAAAACAAAACAAACAAAAGACCAACATTTCTTGTCAACTATGCTTACTAAAGAAAAATGCAAATCAAAAAGTCCAGTTAAAACACTCTCTCCAAGGCCCTCACTGAAACAGAACAGATTAGAAAACAAAAAAACCCTCAGAATGTACTGCTCATTTCCAATTGCAATAACACAGCAGACATAAAATGGAAAGTGTTTGGAACCTACAGAGCAACACAAACTAGTCTTGCACACTCACTTTCATGTTTTTCCAACTATGCCACGCTGAGCTCGCTCTTCAATAAATGTGTTAGCAAACAAGACACCTCTACTTTATACATTCACCTGCTGTTAGAATGTGAATTTCCATATGGGGCACAATATTTATGAAGGATTATTTGAACAGAATTAAGTGCTTGAACATACTTACATGACATCTCCAGAAGTTCTGCAATAGGAATGACCAAGTATATAAATAAACAGAAAATTGCCAAGTATGTTACAGACCTCAAAATTGTACTCTAAGAAAGTAGCTCCAATGAATCTGAAAAAAAAGTCATATGCCATCCAAATGAAAGTTTTGGCTTAAAAAAAAAAAAAATCCCAAATGTCTAGGGTTGTATTTAAGCTAAATACAACTTGACAAGGGAGAGAGTAAGCCTTATATGGACTTGTATATCAAATGGACAGGCTAGATAGAACTTTGGGAGGTAGCCACGTGCAAATCTACCATTGGTAGTAGATAGGCTACAGCAATGAGGGTGGGTTCCAGCAACGTGAGTGGAAGCCAGCATTGCTCCTTGGCTGATACTCCACCTGTGATAAAGATCAGCTAGGGCTCAGCCTGGGACCTGATTGCCAGTGATTCCATGGCTGTGAACACATTCAACTCACACAGCTAAACTCTCTTCCTCATCAAAACAGGATGGTTTCATCTATGCTGCTGAAGAAAAACCCTTGCACACCTCTTGCCTGAACCATGCCCTGGGAGAGAGTCACTTAGCCTGGCCAAACTGTAACTGGAAGTGTGAAGCTATTCAGCACCGAGAGACATCATGCTGATGTTTGTAGCCTTGGCCTGGCCTTGTTTAGGTGACAAATGCTGGTCTTTCTTGCCCCACTATCCTCAGTTTATTCCCTCATCATCAGCAAGTTAATGGCCCTGGGTGCCACATCAAAACCAAGAGTAATAAGAACCTCCCTTAGAAAATGACTGTGTCCCTTTCAGCCCAGTGCCTTACATCACCAAACATGATATTTAAGTTCAGCTACGGTTCTACCTCAGATAAACATAGCTGTGAAA